ATTTTGGAGATGGTGTTGTCCCCGCTGCTGGGTCCGTGGCGCTGTGTCCACAGGTGCAGGTATTTTGGAGATGGTGTTGTCCCCGCTGCTGGGTCAGTGGCGCTGTGTCCACAGGTGCACGTATTTTGGAGATGGTGAGACCGAGTGGGCTTCCCATCTGAGGGTTTGGCCCTCGGACTCGCCTTTGTGTTCTTGTCCCAGCCCTGCCTGTGTCTGGGTCTCGGCTCTTGCTCTGAGCAGGTGCGTGTAATGAGGTCGAGTTCCTTGTGCACAGACAGCTAGGAGTACTGGTAACCAGTTGAAGCTTTGGTTTGAGAGATTTGAACCCGTCTTGGGGGGAGCTCCCCATGGAGAGGTTTGCCGTAGACACTGGCTGTGCATGGGTGACGGCACAGGTCTGTCGCTGGCCTCGCCAGGCAGCGCTCCTGCTCCTGGTGTAAAGCAGAGGTGCTGCAGGCTGTAGAGACCTGGGTCCGTGGGTGAGTGAGATCCTGTAGGAAAGCACCGTAGACAAAGCGCGTCACCCACACCCTCCCCAGAGCTGGAGGAGAGACTTACCTGCCTGGGGGGTTGAAGGAAGACTGGCTTGGCCTGGGGTGGTCACTGCTGGGAGCCCGCCTGGCTGCGGGACTGCTTCCCACCTGGGCCCTGGGCTGCGGGAAGTGACCCCTGCAGGCACGTTGCCCAGTGGCCATCCTGGCTGTCCTTTTCCCCACCATGCCCTCCTCAGAGGCATCTCCCTGGCTTCCCTGCCTGGCGCTGTTTGCCACGCCTCCTTGCAGGCCCCCATGAAGGGTGAGTGAGCGCCCGCTGCTCCAGATCTCCTCTGCGCTGGCCCCAGGCTGGACTTGAGTCGGTCTCCTGCTGCCTGCGGGGTGCACCTGTCCACCTCCCCTCGAGGTATCCCAGTGTCTCGAAAACAGGGACCGAGTGTCTTTTCTATCCTCTTGAGAGCTGAGTGTGCTGCCGCCTTGTCTTCAGTAGGGTGTTAATAACTGAGGAAGGTGATGTGGAAGAATTTACCTGATACTTCTTATAAAGAGTCGGTCTTTGGGAAAATTCTAGAGCCAAGTGGTCTGGAGTATATGCCTTTAGACTGAACAGTGTATCTGATGATATTTTTAAGTTCTATTTTCAGTCTGGGTGTGGTGGCTCACACCTGTAGTCCCAGCTCTTTGGGAGGCCGAGGTGGGTGGATCGTCTGAGGTCAGGAGTGTGAGACCAGCCTGGCCAACATGATGAAACCCCGTCTCTACTAAAAATACAGAAATTAGCCAGGCGTGATGGCGGGTGCCTGTCATCCCAGCTACTCGGGAGGCTGAGGCAGGAGAATGTGTGACAAGAGTGAAAGTCCATCTCAAAACACAAACAAACAAAAACAAAGTTCTATTTTCAGATGTTGTGATAAATAACCTACAGCTTTCTGTTAAATGTTACTCATTCTGATGAGTGAAAAGTTCAGAATGGTTGTTGGTAGGGAGTCTTCCAAGATCCTTTCCAGGGGTCTTCAGTGGGATTGGGAAAATATTATTTCTTGAGGCAGGTTGTGGTAAAAGATATTTGTTTTAATTGTTTTTAATAATTTATGTATATGTTTTCATATTTAGTATTTGGTCAGACTCCAAGCGACTGGATTCATGGCCATTGTGAGCGTGCACTTTGCAGTGGGAGAGCTCGCTGCATCTGTGGTGGCTCAGATGGCCTGGCACGGTCGTTTGTTTTTTGAGACAGGGTCTTGCTCTGTCACCCAGGCTGGAGTGCGGTGGCGCAATCATGGCTCACTGCAACTTCGACCTCCCGCCTCAGCCTCCCGAGTAGCTGGGACCACAGGCGTGCACCGTTGGGTCCGGCTCTGAGTGTTTGGATTTAGAAATGGTTTCCTCTTGTCTCAGGCGGGAACCACTCCGGCTCATCGCTGAAGTGACCTCAGCAAATGAAGTGTTGGTGACCTCGAACAGCACACCATTAGTCTTTGTCTCTGATAACTTCAGGGAAAAATTGGCGAAAGTGCAGGATCTTTCATGCAGGATGCTGTCCCTCCCAGTCCAGTTGAGCTTTCCCGAAGAAGCTCTGGATGTCGCCCCTGTCTGACGCTCACATGTGTGTTTCTCCCCTTTGCTTCTCTGCTGGCTCAGAGGATAGGAGACGCCGTGAGCGGGACGACCAGATGTACCGAGAGCGGCTGCGCACCTTGCTGGTCATTGCAGTTGTCATGAGCCTCCTGAATGCTCTCAGCACCGGTGGAGGCAGCATTTCCTGGAACGACTTTGTCCACGAGATGCTGGCCAAGGGTGAGGTGCAGCGTGTCCAGGTGGTGCCTGAGAGCGACATGGTGGAAGTCTACCTGCACCCTGGAGCCGTGGTGTTTGGGCGGCCTGTGAGTGAGGGTGTGGGTGCAGGCTGGCAGCCTGTGAGTGAGGATATGGGCGCCTGTGAGTAAGGGTGTCGGTGCCTGTGAGTGAGGATGTGGGCGGCCTGTGAGTGAGGGTGTGGGTGCCTGTGAGTGAGGATGTGGGCGCCTGTGAGTAAGGGTGTCGGTGCCTGTGAGTGAGGGTGTGGGCGCCTGTGAGTGAGGGTGTGGGCGCCTGTGAGTGAGGATGTGGGCGCCTGTGAGTGAGGGTGTGGGCCCCTGTGAGTGAGGGTGTGGGCGCCTGTGAGTGAGGGTGTGGGCACCTGTGAGGGTGTGGGCGGCCTGTGAGTGAGGGTGTAGGTGCCTGTGAGGGTGTGAGCGGCCTGTGAGAGTGTAGGCGCCTGTGACAGTGTGAGTGCCTGTGAGTGAGGGTGTAGGTGCCTGTGAGTGAGGATGTGGGCGCCTGCGAGGGTGTGGGTGCCTGTGAGTGAGGGTGTGAGTCAGGGTGTGGGTGCCTGTGAGTGAGGGTGTAGGCGCCTGTGAGTGAGGGTGTAGGCGCCTGTGAATGAGGGTGTGGAGGGTGTAGGTGCCTGTGAGATGAGGGTGTGGGCACCTGTGAGGGTGTGGGCGGCCTGTGAGTGAGAGTGTAGGCGCCTGTGAGTGAGGGTGTAGGTGCCTGTGAGTGAGGGTGTGAGTGCCTGTGAGTGAGGGTGTAGGTGCCTGTGAGTGACAGTGTGAGTGCCTGTGAGTGAGGGTGTAGGTGCCTGTGAGTGAGGATGTGGGCGCCTGCGAGGGTGTGGGTGCCTGTGAGTGAGGATGTGGGCGCCTGCGAGGGTGTGGGTGCCTGTGAGTGAGGGTGTGGGCGCCTGTGAATGAGGGTGTAGGCACCTGTGAGGGTGTGGGTGCCTGTGAGTCAGGGTGTGGGTGCCTGTGAGTCAGGGTGTGGGCACCTGTGAGTGAGGGTGTAGGCGCCTGTGAGTGAGGATGTGGGCGCCTGCGAGGGTGTGGGCGCCTGCGAGTGAGGGTGTGGGTGCAGGCTGGCAGCCTGTGAGTGAGGGTGTGGGTTCCTGTGAGTGAGGGTGTGGGTGCCTCTGAGGATGTGGGCGCCTGTGAGGGTGTGGGCGCTTGTGAGCGAGGGTGTGGGCGCCTGCGAGTGAGGGTGTGGGTGCAGGCTGGCAGCCTGTGAGCGAGGGTGTGGGTGCCTGTGAGCGAGGGTGTGGGTGCCTGTGAGCGAGGGTGTGGGTGCCTGTGAGTGAGGGTGTGGGTGCAGGCTGGCAGCCTGTGAGTGAGGATGTGGGTGCCTTTGAGTGAGGGTGTGGGCACAGGCCGTTGCCATTCTTTTGGATACATGTAGTTGAGGGCATGCTTCTTTCTCATGCTGGGCCCTCAGCCCACTGATTTGCATTTATTTGGTTGTCTTTGGTTTTTTTTTTTCGTTTTAGTTTTTTTGTTTGTTTGTTTGGGACAGTCTCACTCTGTTGCCCAGGCTGAAGTGCAGTGATGTGATCTCCACTCACTGCAACATCTGCCTCCCGAGTTCAAGTGATTTCCCTGCCTCAGCCTCTCGGGTAGCTGGGATTACAGGCGTGCACCACCACACCTGGCTAATTTTTGTACTTTTAGTAGAGATGGGGTTTCTCCATGTAGGGCCAGGCTGGTCTCGAACTCCTGACCTCAGGTGATCTGCCCACCTTGACCTCCCAAAGTGCTGGGATTACAGTCGTGAGCCTTCATTCCCAGCCAGATCTGGTAACTTTAGATTCCAAGAGTGCGTTAGAACCTGTGCTTGGAGCATTTTAATCCTGGACAGTGTGTGGACCAGTGATTAGGAAAGTGGTCTGGGGTTGGTGTGTCCCAGCCCAGGGTCTGGAAATGACCGTGGCCTCCACCAAAGCTTCTGCCCCTTTGCTGGGTTACGCAGGATTCAGGATGCTTTTTCCTTCTCTTTTTTTTTTTTTCTTTTTTTTTCTTTTGAGACAGTCTCCCTCTGTTGCCCAGGCTGAGATGCAGTAGTGTGTGATGTTGGCTCACTGCAGCCTTGACCTCCTGGGCTTGGCTGATCTTCCCACCTCAGCCTACCCTGTAGCTGGGATTGCAGGCGTGCACTACCACACCTGGCTAATTTTTAAATTTTTTGGTTTTTTTGGAGAGATGAGGTCTTCCTGTATTGCCCAGGCTGGTCTTGAACTCCTGGCCTCAAGTGATCCTCACACCTTGACCTTCCAAAGTGCCTGATGACAGGTGTCAGCCACCACGCCCGGCCCTGTCTTGCTAGTTTTAAGAACAGGAAACCTGTTTTTAAACACACCATGGCTAAGTGCAGAGGGTGGTGCTCATTCAGGTAAATCCTCTGATGGAGGCCTGATTATTTCAGCCTGGGAGGTTATTTTAATCTACAGCACTATGCTCGGTTCTGGACGAGTCACCTGATAAAACAGCTGCCTTCCAGAGAAAATGCTCAGAATTCTGTCTTAGCAGTTTGAGGTGTGAGTGAGGGAGCAGCAGGTGCCACCTCCACCCCGATCCCTGTCCTCTGCTGGAGTCCCCAGTTAACCTCCAGGAGAGTCCTGCACGTCTGTCCTTGTCCTCCCTTTGGGCTGTTGCCGTCCAGTCGTGCTGAAACCTGAGCTGAACGTGCGGAGTTTACTTAGGAAAACACTGCGTTTGGAGAATCATGTGCTGAGGAGACAGACCTGTCGGTGTCCTGGTGTGAGGGATGAACAGTCTCAGGGTTTGTGGTTAAACACGAGCCCTCTGTGGCCGCGGTTTCCTAAAACATCTGTTTTTGGCCACAGTCTTGATTGTGTTGTCCTCAGTCCCGTGCTGCAGCCTCGCCGGCCTCTGGGGCAGGCTCCTGTCGTGTCTACAGGCGTAGCTGAGTCCGAGGCACACGTCAGACGTGGGGCCGTGAGCTAACGTGCGGACATCCCTCGATTTCTCAGTTTTCCTTTGAGTGGAAAATAGAAAGTCTATCTGTTGAAATCTTATTTCTCAAATTGTGGTTGAGGAAACTAAAATTTTTCAGACTTGGAAGTACAGATGCTCCTTGAATTAGGATATTTTCAGCTTCCCAGGGGCTCACTGGGAGGTGGCCCCATCGTAGGTCAAGGAGCTTAGTCTGCCTATTGCTTTCACGTCGTTGTGAAGTGGAAAGACCGTAAGTGGAACCATCGTACGTTAGGAATCACCTCTAGTTTCTGAATGGCGTCCTCTTCACAATGTGCTGAGGCTGTCTGAGTGTTCCAGGCAGGCTCCCTGTCGGTTAGCGTGGAGTACCCAGGCAGCTCCCTGTCGTTTAGCAGTGAGTGCAGCAGGTCCGCTGTCCTTAGCGCAGTTCCAGGCAGGCCCCTGTCCTGTAGCGGTGAGTTCCAGGCAGAGCTCCTGTCCTTAGCGGAGGTTCCAGGCAAGGCTCGTCTGCCTTAGCGTGGCAGTTCCATGGCAGGCTCCCGTGTCGTTTAGCGTGAGTTTCCAGGCAGGTCCCTGTCGTGTAGCGTGAGTTTCCAGGCAGGCTACCCTGTCCGTGTAGCGTGAGTTCCAAGGCAGGCCTCCCTGTCGTTGCGTGAGTTCCAGGCAGGGCTCCCTGTCGTAGCCGTGAGTTCCAGGCAGAGCTCCCTGTCGTTAGCGTGATTCCAGGAGGCTCCCTGTCGTTAGCGTGATTTCCAGGCAGGACTCCCTGTCAAGTTAGCGGAGTTCCAGGCAGGCTCCCTGTCGTTAGCGTGCAGTTCAGTGGCAGGGCTCGCCTGTGCAGTTGAGCGTGAGTTCCCAGCGCAGGCTCCCTGTCGTTAGCGTGAGGTTCCAGGCAGGCTCCCTGTCGTTTAGCGTGAGTTCCAGGCAGGCTCCCTGTCGTGTAGCGTGCAGTCAAGGCAGGCTCTCTGTCGTTTAGCGTGACTCAGGCAAGCGTCTCTGTGAACCGTGGGGCGGTGTGCCCGTCTGTCGCC